CAGTAGTAGAAGAAGAAGAAGTAGTAGCAGTAGTAGTAGTAGTAGTAGTAGTAGTAGTAGTAGTAGTAGTAGTAGTAGTAGTAGTAGTAGTAGTAGTAGTCGTAGTAGTAGTAGTAGTAGTAGTAGTAGTAGTAGTAGTAGTAGTAGTAGTAGTAGTAGTAGTAGTAGTAGTACTAATAGTAGTAGTAGTAGTAGTAGGTAGTAGTTAGTAGTAGTAGTCGTAGTAGTAGTAGTAGTAGTAGTAGTAGTAGTAGTAGTAGCAGTAGTAGTAGTAGTAGTAGTAGTAGTAGTAGTAGTAGTAGTAGTAGTAGTAGTAGTAGTCGCAGTAGTAGTAGTAGTAGTAGTAGTAGTAGTAGTAGTAGTAGTAGTAGTAGTAGTAGTAGTAGTAGTAGTAGTAGTAGTAGTAGTAGTAGTAGTAGTAGTAGTAGTAGTAGTAGTAGTAGTAGTAGTAGTAGTAGTAGTAGTAGTAGTAGTAGTAGTAGTAGTAGTAGTAGTAGTAGTAGTAGTAGTAGTAGTAGTAGTAGTAGTAGTAGTAGTAGTAGTAGTAGTAGTAGTAGTAGTAGTAGTAGTAGTAGTAGTAGTAGTAGTAGTAGTAGTAGTAGTAGTAGACGTAGTATTAGTAGTAGTATTGGGGGGTAACAGCGACGTGCGCGACGTCCGTTTCGGGGGCAAATGGGAGTGGGATCAGCGCGCGTGATGCGTGTCGCTTGGAAAAAAAAAACAGCGCGTGTGACAGTCGGAACCCCGCAGCCTGGACGGGTGATGCCCAGAAGCGAGGCACGCACCTTGCGGTGATGAAATCAACAGGTCGGAAAAATTCGGGAAGCAGGCAAACAGCACACGTCGTCGACGCTTCGTTCTTCGACGTGTTGCGCGCAATCCTTTTTGTTGGGCTCGGGCATGCTTCGAACTCGTCTGGGTTGCGGCGTATCGCGACGTGGGTGTCGGGCCGCGAAGCACGTCGTGTGGGGCGCGCCCGCGTAGCTCGCGTGCGTCTGTCGCCAGGGAGTGGCGTGCACAGAAAGGTGCGCCGACAGGGTGGAGGTAGCGACGAGTGTGGCGAGGGCGTCACGACATGCGCTTTGGTGACGGAATGCTCTTGGTGGTTGTCGCGTGGACGGCGTACGTGACGTGCGCGCCGACGGCCTCTGTGGCGACCCTGGCGGCAGACGACGCAACCGTGGGCCCCTGGGAGAACAAGTGCTTGCAAGATGCGGTAGCGCGTATGCAGCGCGGTCGTTGGCGCCGAGACGCTTTGCGATTTTTTGCCAGAGGGTGCGCCAATCACGCGTGGTCGGGCGTGGGCGGCGTGGGTCCGGTGGGCAAACAGAACGTGGACGCGGTCCAGCGGTGGCTGTGCCAGCAGAAAGTTTTTGCGTGGGTGTACGAGGCCGGACATGTCGCGGACCTTCTGGAAGAGGGAGCGCTATGTAGGTGGCGGTTAGGTGATGCGGACGGCCGCTGCGTCGGGTCGGCCGTTTGGTGTCCGAAGGACATGTCGTTCGCGTCGCACATGGGCACGGTGCGTTGAACGGGGTGGTGGGAGATCCGGTGCAGGCCCCGTGGCGACGTTATGCGGCTGGCGCTTCTCGCGGCGGCAAAAAGGTGGCGCCGGCGGCAAGCACTAGCGCGAGCGCGAGTGCTGGGCAGCGTCGTGACGCAAGCCCTTCCCTCATGGGTGACGGGCCGTGCTGTTCTGAGAAAGTGCGGGCACTGGTAAATCGGCGGTGTCGAAAGATGCCCACCAGCGGCCAGGGCGGCGCTTGTGGCATTAATGCGCTGTTCGGCGCGGCCTCCCCAGGTGGCCTGCGGCGCGCCGACGCGAGAGGTTTCTTGCGACGGACGCTCGGCGAGACTGCAGAGGAAGTGCGCCGACATTGTCGCAGCGCTCCAGCGCTGGGTGATCTGATGAACTCGGCGTGGGAGCATGTGATCAAGCCGCAGGCCCGACAGCACCTTGGTCGGAATGATCGAATTCTCGGTATGTTGGCAGAAGAAAGGGAGTTATGGGAAAAAGATAAAGGGGAAGAGCCGTGTCTGGAATGCCTGTTTGCGCGCCGTGAAGGAACAGAGTCAAGCGTTGCTTGTATTCGAGCAGAGACGCCGCGAAATTACGAGTGCGCTGAGAAATTTGTGCGAGAATGATATGAAAGAAATATTTCTACGCCCGCTGCTGACTCACTTGGGCATCTTGGAAGACTACGAATGCGTGGGAGATGGCGGACGCTGGGAGATCCACGTCGTTGGCGCAGACACCGAGCTTGGACAGCAGTACCGACGCGGCATCGTGGAGTATTTCGGCATGAACAACGTGGGCGATTTTCCAACGCACGTGAATCGAACGGTGGCTGATCTGCAGGACGCGAATGTAGACAGAGCATTCCGCGCTGGAGTTTGCGACTTTGTAGCATTAGTGGAGGAGGCCCGCTTGCACGCGCCCGTCGTCGACGCTGGGGGGTCTGTTTTGGTGCGGGAGCCACTCGAGGACTTCTTCACTCTGGTGCACCCCTGTTATTTGGGGGCCTTATGTTCAGATGGATAGTATTCGAGTGATTGAGAGCTGCTGTTATTGTGCGAGTGCGCACGTCTGAGCGCGGTAATGGCGCGGGAGATTCGGGGGGGGCGCGGGCCAGTTTTTCAGCTGCGCAAGTGTGTCTTGCCCGCGGGCGACTCGGCGCATGTCACAGTTATCAGTATAAACGCGGATCTTGGGAGGAGCGCTGTGCAAGGACATTGCGAGCGTTTGGGATGCTTGTCGAGGGGTGTCCCGCCGCTGCCGAATCCGCCGCCTTTGCAAGGGGCTGCGGAGGACATGGGAACCAACAGAGGATTGCCTGATTAATCTGGCACCGCGGAGAACAACTCGGCTACGCTGCCCATGCGAGATGGCCCACCCTCGGGCAAATTGGGCGCCAGGGATCGCTCTTCGAAAGATCTCGTGGCATCTAGCGTACTGGAAGATTCGACGGGGGCGTGCTCGGGCGCGCCGGCGCCGCCGCCGCCCGGTAATGGGCGCGGGGCAGAGAACGCCGAGGCGCGCGTGCGGCGGCGGGCCGGAGCAAACGTGGGAGCCAGCGGCAATGCGAAGAAGGCCTTGGTTGCGTCGTGGAATGTTGGGGCCTGCAAAGATGGGGCTGGGTGCGCTGGCGAATGTGCGAGAACCGTGACTGGATCGGTCGTCGGTGGCCATGGGGAAACAGCTGTGCAGCAAGGGAACGGCAAGGCAAAAGCGCAGGGCGTCGGCGACGAAGCAGCGCGGCAAAGGGAAGACCCTTCAGGGGGCGTGGGGGGCGGCGATGATGTCACCCCCGTTGCAGACGCCATGCAAAAGGCATTCTGCAGTGTTGGCGTAGACGCGTCCTCGAAAGATCCTCGGCGGATCCCAGAACTCCTCGTGGCAGCTGCCGCGACAAGCGTTCGGCGACGCCCGACGGTGCCTGCGGATCCAGACGATGCCTCCCAACCGTGGGCGCGAGCGTTGGCCGAAGATGTGGCTGTCGAGTTGCCAGCCGTTCACTGTGCGTTTGTGGGGTGTACATGGCAGTCGGATGACGAGGGCGAGTTGTACGACCACGTCCACGCGGTGCACGGTGCCGTTGTTCTGCCAATTGCCGACTTGATTCATCCTGGGGACGAGGGAGAGAAACTCCGTGTCGCAGCAGCGTACCATGCGATCGTGGCACTTGCCGTTCGGAGTGGTGCGCCGCTGTCGGCATATTCTCTACACAGAAGGAGTTTGGCCAGGTACGCGGGAGCAAGTAAGCAGAAAAGCGTAGCGTCTCCGATATGTTTTCTTTGCGCGTGCACGTTTCCATGGGTAGGAAGCCGAAGAGGAAACCAGATTTCCTGGGAAAGCCCGTTCAAGGCATCCGAGGCGGACCCGAGTGTAGTGGGCCATGCAGGACGTGCAAGCTCGTTTCAGCGTCGACGCATATGTACGAATCTACTGGCATGAGCCAGGAAACGAAGCGTTGGACGTGGACGATGCGTGGTATAATGGAGACTTCACCGATTGGCTCGTGACAGTGCCGACGTACCGCGGTGATGTGCAAATATTGTGTTGCCCGGAAGATCAACAGTGCCGCAGGGGGTGCCGGGAGAGGAGAGAGAGAACGGCATGTCCCGAATGCAGAGTGTCTCTTTGTCAGGAGTGCAAGGTAGAGGTGGACAGGCCATATCGGTGGCGGGCGAGTGCGATCCAGGCAGTCCCGCGCCGCAGTCCTGCGAATGACTTGATGGCGTTCTATGCGCCAGATCGCATGTACACACAAGGAATGACAGTGATGGAAATGATTTGCTGCAGCCCTTGCATTGCGTCGATGATGTGCTTTTCATTGGAGGTGAAGTTTCAAAGCGATCAGGAAAACAGTCAGGGCAGGGGGAACTTGTTTGACAGCGTCGCTGGGTTCCACAGCGGGCGTTTGGCAGCGCGAGGGAATGCCGCAAGCTTCATGTTACCGTGGCAGGGGATTTTGCGAGAGCTACGTCCGCTCGAGAAGTAAGGGCGCCAGGGAAGCGACTCTGCGGTGCCGATCGTGGGTGATAGGTTGGGGTCGGTTGTGCAAATACTTCTGAAAATCAACGACGCCACTAGTAAGGACAACCTGCCGCGGTTCATGCATCAAGCGAATGTCTGGCGCGATGTCGTGAAGCGCCACATCGGGGAGATGAAGAAGCGCGGGCGCCCGGCCGTCGTGAACGTCAACTTGGAGGCGATGGAGAGAAAGGCAGATCAGTTGCCGAAGAACGGCGTGCCGCCTGAGATTGTCCGGCCGTTGCCGCGTGACACCGCGTCGGACAAGCTCATGGTGCAGAAGAATGCGACGCCCTGCGATGGAGAGCGAGGTTCTGTTGCAGCGGCTGCGCGCGACATGAACTTGCGCACGCCGAATGCCGTCGTGATGGAGAAGTCGTCTGTGGACGAAGTGGACGCGAACAAATTGAGGCAGGGTGCGGTGGGGCATGTGTCCGGCAGGTCGCCGACGGCAGGGCGCGAAAGTCCAGAGCCAGGCGCAAACACTGTCGCACAGGCAGGTGCATTGGCAATGGAAGCCAAAAGCTTCGCACTGCGTCTGGCAAGTGCGCGGGCCAGCAGGCGTGACCGGCCGGAGTGCCCGTGCGGCGGAGAGAGAGACGAGCGCGCTCTGGCGAGGACATGCAGAACGGGAGACAAGGCGGCCAACGTAGACACGAACACACTGCAGTTTCGGTGTTGGGAGATGCTGGAAGCGGACGCGCCTCGCATTCGGTGCGTGGTGTATCCAGGCCGTGCGATGATGAATCAGTTTTTTCCGTGGTTTTTCGGCGTGGCATTTCATTTCTGTTTCAAGTGCGGGGTGGGGATGCCGGACATGCCTGAGTGGCAGGAAAATGCACGACATCGACGTGGGCCCGCGGCGCCCCGCGTGGATTTGGCTCTGTGGGCGCGCATCGTGACGCGTCGGGTGGAGTCTCAGTCCAGGCGTGAATGGCGGTTTGGTTTTACGTTGTCGTCGGTCTTGTTTCAAAGTTCAGTGAACATGGCCCGGTCCGTCCGCTTGGCGGACTATAGAAAGGACGGACAGACGGAATGCCAGTATTCGCAAGGAGAACTCGAAAAGGCAGCCGTGAGCATCGTAGAAGCTTTGCATGGTACGTACAAAGATCCGTCAACCGGCAAGACCACGAACGTTCGCGGATTTTTCTCGAAGCTAAAATATGTTCAGTCGCTCGATGCGATATCGAAACGACTGGCTGCTGGAGCCAGCGCAGTCTCGCAATATTGAAAGGGGTGAACGAGGTGCGGACGCTCACGAGGTACGACACCCATGCGGCTCGAATCGCCCATGGGGTGCCGGTATTTTTCACCATGTCCCCAGACGAGAGACACAATCTGGTCATGGTGCGGCTGTCGCGGTCGCGAGAGAAGGACCCCGTGAATCTTGGTGAAGCGCGGGCGCGTCACGGCCCAACGCATGGTGGGTTGTGGGAGCCGTCGCTGGCGCGCAAGGATGATCTCTCCAGAGATGCCTCGACAAGAGATCGGGGCGAGCAGGCGAGCGAGAACGGATCGGACGCAGAGGGGGCAGAGGGTGACGACGACGCGGACATGGCAGTGCCTTTGGCGATGTTGGCAGATGCTGTGCCCGCGTCGGACGAGAGAAGAGCAGTGCTGGCTCGGGACCCGCTGGCGGGCGTTGATGGGTTTCGGGTCATCGTGGGCTTTGTTTTCGAGAACATTTTGGGCTTGCGATATTGTCCGACTTGCCCGGACTGCGAGTGCGCAGACTTGCTTGGCAGCAGCGCGACGGCGGCGGGCGGGTGCTTGGGTCGCGTGGGCGGGGTGTGCGGCAGCATTGATGCTCAGAAGTCGGCAGGAAGTTTGCATCTGCACGTGCATGTCTTCGTTCAGTGTCTGCGCCAGCATGCCCCGTTGCACCAACTGCTACAGCTGCCGACAGATTTGGCGAAGGGGCGGGTAGAAGAGTACAAGAGGTTCAAGAGAAACGCGAGTCGTCAAGAGTACGCTGGCGTAGAACGCTGGAGGGGCAGGAAACGGAGGTGGAGAGGGCATGGCCCACGTGTCGCGAGGCCGCAGAGCTGGTCGCAGCGCCGGAGTACTTACACAGCGCCCAGGCTAAGGGGTTGGAAGAGACGGAAGGCTGCGGCAGGGAATCAACGAGCGGCAACGGGAGAACAGGAGGTGAAGACAAGAGTAACGAGGCAGGGCGGACCTGGCTGCAAGAGTACCTCGGCGTCTGGGTGCAAAAAGGGCAGGAGTTTCGACAGAACCACGTGTACCAGTGGAGTGAGCGTTTGCAGCGCATGGTACCGTTGGCCCATTCTCAAAGGAAAGACGACATATCGCAGTGCAAAAGCTTTTCCCGCGCACGACGTGGCTCACAGATCGCGCAGTGGTGTTGTGCCGAGGTTTTTTTGCAAGACCGTGGCATGCCGCGGGCAGGGGGGGGGGGGGGGGACATGACAGGGTGCTTGCACGGGCCCATGAACGAAGATAACCTGAACGGAGCGCTGCCTGCGATGTTATGCGGCGCGGTGGGTTTGAATTTTAATTTCGATTTGCAGATTTTGTACAGGTTCCCAGTGACGGAAACCACGCACGATAGCGGTGTGTGCGAAGAGCGGTGCTGGGAGACGGATCGACCCATAGACATGGTTCTGGCAGCGCAGCGAGCGCGGAATGCAGCAGCTGGGTATGCGGCGGACTATCAGTGCAAGCGGTGTGCCCCGTCGTTCAACGAGGTGAGGGAGATCAAAAAGGGGCGCCACGCGCTGGCGGATCAGACGAAGGACAGGACCGCGGCGTACCGAGCGAACAGGCACATGAAGAGGTTTCTCAGTGACATGTACGGGAGAGGCGTGGTGCGGTCAGCGCAGGAAGCTGCGAATCTGCGAGCGTACCGAGACCCCAGAGACGTGACTGGTGCCGAGAGTATCAAGACTGCGAAGACAGCCATGATCCCGGGAGCTGAAGCCGTGCGCATAGCGGAGCGTGTCTGT